TATTGATGTGAAATGTTGTTATAAAATACAAATGATTAATTTTTTTGTCTTCTATGTATAGAAACTAGTGGCTATTAGTTATACAAATTAAAAACATGTAAACTACAGGCAAATTCTTTTAATGTTTGTACATGGTGCTATATTTATAACATAGCTCAAAAGTAACATACTCTTTTTTTCATTTGTAATTGTAATTATTATGCATTAACTTTTTAAACAAACTCCAGGGCTTAATGATAAAAAAACTTTCTTTCTTTTAAGAACTAATTTAATTATATAAGTGTATAAAAGGTGTTTATTGCTGCAATATAAGACTTTATGTGAAAATGTGTGTGTGTGTGTGTAGTAAAAACAATATCAGCCTCTCACATGAAGGCCAGTGAACTACAATGTTATAACTAGTAGATGGCCTCATATATGCATGCACTTTTATCAAGGTTTCATATACTGTAACCTCATACTGCATGTATTACATTGACAAGAATCTTAATTTTCCCAGTTTATAGTAAATTAATCATAATTTGTAAACATAGATACATAAGCAACTGCTTCTGGAACTTATTAAGTGAACAATTTTGGAATTAAATTTAATATGTGAAATGACTCAATTCATAAAATATATACATAAGTGTTCCAATTGATTCTGCTTTTATTTTGGCATAGATAGTGATATTTAAAAGAAAAACTATATTTGTAGAGAGCACATTGTCTTGAAACAAAGCTGCATAAGCATTTATAGCAAATATTATTTAATTACTTACACATTTCATATATATTGAGGTTTATAGCCTTTGGTACATATCAGTTATTTCCTAAGTTTTTATGATAAAAAAAATGTGCGTATATATATATATATATGTATGTGTGTGTGTGTAGTTTTGATAATGAAGGCATTTCTGGGTCATCAATATTAAAGCATAAATGTTCTTCGTGTATTTATTTTTATATGTGTTTGTAAGAAACTTGTAATAAAAATCTTTGATTCAACTTCAAAAACAAAAGACAAGAAGCTTTTTTTTTAAGTTTTAGGAATCTTTTGGATACTGTACAAGCTTGTGACTTGGCACAGAAAATTTTTATATGGCTGAGTATAAGTTTGTTTGTTTGTTTTTCTGAAAGAAAGAGATATGGATATACTGTTCTTGATGTATAATTTTAGAAGGCATATTAAGCATACAATGACTAGAAACTTTTTCAAGATGACACACACTATTCATAGTGTTTGAAACCAAGGTCATTAGTTTGAGCCCATGGCAATTGGCAACTGTATCTGTATCTTTTTACTAGTTAATAATTATTTCTTTCTTACAAGTGTAAAAATTACTTTTCTATTTTATTGATTAATTATTCTTTAGAATTATACAAAAGAAGAGCACAATATTGGAAGTTTTTGAAAAGAAGTTTCATTAATATATTTTGTTTTGTGCTATTATTCATAGATAGTATGTGCATGCATGCTTTATTAACAATGATAATATTTTGTCATGTATTGTTATTAGAGTTATTTAATTCTATTTAACAAATTTGCAGCAATAAAAACAAGCATTTAATTCAAATTTTATAGAACTTTTTCAAAGTATAAAACCTTAATTTTATCTTAAACATCTTCCATTCTAGTGAAACATTGATGGCTTTACCAACCCTGAATAGTTTGAAACAAGAACAAGAAACTAATGGGTAAGTAAAGTATATAATGACGGCAGTTAGAGAAAAGGATCGATTTTCAGCTCTAACAATGATATGTTTTAAAATGAGACTTTACTCCTAAACTTGTTGGTGATTCATTATCTTGTATGAGCTCTTTTCATTTTTAGTTATCTTGGATGATATTTGTATAAGAACTGATTTCTGTGGGCTGCCTTGTTTGCTCTTTTGTGCAGTTATATTGAAAACTTACTGTGGTTAATGATACATTAAATAGCTAATATCTTCTGCTTCTTGGGAAAGCCCATGGCTCAGAAATATTCTGTAAATTAATTGAAAGCATTAATTTTGTTTGACAACTATTGTAGTCAAGTTCGCATGTATTATACTGAAACTACTCAAAAGCATTATTTAGGATAAAAATAATGAATAAATTAAAATTGTAGTGATAGTACACTCCCATAACAGAAAAAATATTTCATTGGACTTTTGCAATAGTAATTCCATTTCAAACTAGTTTATATCCTTCCTGTAAAACATTTTCTTCTGTAAAATGTTAGCTGCTGAAAGGAAAGAACTATCACAGTCAGGGTAACGTAGTGTATAGGTTTTTAGTCCACTAAAGGCTATTTTTACTTTGATTGCTTCTAGGCAACTATCTCTTCAAACTATTCAGGTAAGTCATCATCATTAAGAGTTTACTTATTAGTACCTCTTAATAAATGTTTTTCACCTTTTGGTGAGCAAAATAATTATTTCATCAATATTTGAGTTGTCTTATCAATCTGTCAATATCTCAGTTGCATAAAACTCATACTTTGCTGGAATAATCTGATGTTAAATTTAATATTTTTCTTGCAAGTCAGCTTATCATTGTTTACCATTTCTAAATAACATTACTTTTTTAGCTAAAAGTTAAAAACAAGAGTTCTTACTGTTTGTGTGTAAATAAGCTAAATTAGCTTGTATGAGAGCATTTTAACTCAACCATAATGTTTATATATCCTATATTAATATAAAAAATCCCTTTTTCTATAAAAGTATTGAAAAGAACCTGCTTTTTAATATTTCTACTTTTTATAGTCTCCCTCCATATTGTAGTTACATCACAATTTGCTCATGATATGTCATGAAAGTTGATTATTACTTGGTAATTTTACACTTTTCCTCCCTCATTGTTTCCATACAATGATATGAAAACAGTATTGTAACTTTTTATCCCTCATTGTTTCCGTAGAATAATATTAAAACAATATTGTATTCAAACTTTAGCACCTTCTTTTCTTAAATAAAGTTTACACAACACTAATTTATAAGTTTCTTTTTTTTTCACCATGGAAATACCAGGCTCAGAGGTAAGGTCAAGTATTGTTGAAGTTATAATTGGTCATGCTTTTGGTCAATCAACTTGATTTTTGTTTTACAGAGACAGAAACAAGTTAGAAACATAATCCAATTTAGGTAGGTACTTAAAATGAACATATTAGACAAATAATTCCAATATGTAGACAAAATATCACTATTTATCCAGCATAAATTGACTAGGAGAATAATGTGACCTTTATCTTCCTTCAACAATATTTTATAGTTTATCCATTTAGAAATGAAATAGAAAGTAAGATTGAACTTAGGTTTTACATTACAATAAAATTACATGAAAGATATTAAATCAGAAAATGCTCTTAAAAATATACTTACTTCTTGCTTGCAAGATTGAAATAAGTATAACTGTGATCAGAATTGTCTGAGAAATTCCTCTTAATTCTATAGACATGGGCTCATGTATTTTACATGACCTTGTAACTACTGTCAAATGAAGAAGCTATGCATATGATAACACTGAAAGTACTTAATTTATATGTAAAAAAATTGGCAAGATTTTAGTAAGTACAAGAAGTCTTTTGTACACAAAAAAATTCAGTTATTTTTACTAAAGATTTGTCTGAATAGATGGAGTCAGAATGTTGAACTGCTCCAAATACAAAATGATTTTCATGTTAAGATTAAATATACTTTCTTTATCTTAAAGGCTTGTAAGAGTATACATCTGTTACTACTTAATTTTTATTGTTAAATTTCCCTTTGAACTCTCTCAAACTAATAATTCTGACACAAATTGTAACTGAGTCAGTGAACATGTAGCTCATGTTACCATATTGAATGTAGTAATGCATGAGCTGCTAACATGAACATCTTTCTAAGAAATATATTTTAGAATGTAAATTTTGCATTTGAAAAATGGTACATAATATCTTAAAACAAACACAGTCTTCTCCTTATGGGATTGGTTAAACATTTTCAAGCTATCTATATAATTTGTATTCTATATTTTTATTTATATATATATATCTTTTATTATACATGCCATCAAAATCTAAACAACACTACCATACTTACATCAGTAAATTGTACATAACATGTTCTTTGGTTATGCCACTATGACCTACAGCAGTGTATACCATCAAAGGCCACATAATATGTACCATACAAAACTACATAACATGTTTTGTATACCCCACCAGACTTTACATGCACATAACACACTTGTTGTGTACACCACCCAAAATTAGTGTTAGGAGAGATATATAAAAAATAATATCCAGTCTACATAGTATATGGATCAATCTTTAGAATTGTTATTTTGTATCCAGCATCTTTCACTTTTATGGGGAATTTTATTGAGAAAAATGTTAAAGTAAATGCACATTTATATTGTATTGTTTCGGTTAGTTTTCAGACTTAGTATATTTATCTTGCTTACATACCCATACTGTGTTACATGTATAATGTGTCCCTAGGAAAACTTCTGTTGGAGAAGAGAGGTGTCTTTAACATTTTCAGGTCATTTTTAAGGGTGTGTTTATGTTCTATCTACAAAAGTATATTTAGGTTATTTCTTGTTAAGGATATCAGTTATATCCAGTATTATTGTCAACAAAATTGGAATTTTAAGTATTCAATATTGTATATTGGATAAATGCTAACAGAAGACTAAAAATCTGGGTTTTTTTCAAAGGAAATGTAAACTTTTTTAATATATATATATAGTTTCATTTAACAATCATGTAATACCAAGATGCTTATTAAAGCTTTTAAGCCATACAAATGTTTATAATATCAATATCTGAAAACCAAGCTTTATTATTATAGTAAGGTACATATCCAGTCAGTGAAAATTGCCCATAACCTGTATAATGTTAGAATAATACCTGTCATGAATCTTGGCAGACATTCATATTATTCAAGTACATAAATGTTATCTTATTTCTTTTGAGTTTTAGTCAAGAAACTTTAAAGAGATGAGTTTTGCTATATCAGAATATAGAATACCTATTTTACATTGATTTTCTTAAAATAAATGTAAAAATAGAATGCAAAAATACACCTGATAGAACTAAAATGCTTTTAAAATGGTGTCAAGTTTATTTGTTCAATAACTGTTACTTCTGTGTACACTTGTATATGTTACAAGTGTGTATAAAGTATACAACTGTATACACAAGTAATATATATATATATATATATATATATATATGTATCTCCCTAATTGTGAAAGTTTGCAAAAATTAGTAATTGTTTACCTGACATATATGTCAGTATACAAGTTGAAATAGCCAGTTTTATCTAAAAATTATTCTCACTCCCCCATTCCTGATGCTTATGTAGTAGTAGTAATTTGCATACATCCTTAAAACAACTTGTATGGTATTGTATATTAACCAGTGAAATGATGTGTTTTAAACATTAGATATATAATAGGCTTTTTAAATGCCATAAAATAAAATGTGAAAATAATGTACTTTAATGTGTGTGTACGGAAAAGTATGTTCCAGGCAGGATTACTGTATAGTTATTTGACTTACTCAGGCTAAAAATGAAATGTTTTGACAAGCTAAATACCTGTTTTGTGTGAAATTTAACATTTTACTATAATTTTATATATATTTCTTTAATATTAATCAAAGCTGTATAATAAAAACTGATATTAAAATTTTAGTAATATTATGGATTTTTAATTGTTTATACAATGCAGTAGTTTCCAGTATTTCCCATCTTGTCTACCACATAAATCAGTATATTAATCTTTCTACTGTATCTTGCTACCTGTAAATTGTATTCATGAAATTTTTGATTGCGTTGAATATCTGCCACACATTTTAATTGTTTTGTCTTTCTTTTATATGTTCAAGTATTTTTATTTTCATTTCATTAGGCAAGGCAAGTGTTATTCCTTTTTAAATGATGATTTTTTTTTTTGGAAAAAAAAGTTCTTATGTAAATTTTCTTTTTAACTTTTAATATTCATATAAAAGAAAACTTCCTTGTACATAAACATTTGAATAAAGCAAAACATTAATATCCACTTTGGAAAGATATCATGATAAGAATAATTACATAATGAGCATCCTATGCAATTCACACTGAACTACCAAAGTGTACTTAGTTTATTTAGAAAAATATATATTTTGTCTTGTTTGACATTTAAAAGTAGATAAAACTGCTTGCATCACTTGTGATCAGAGTGAACCAATATTATTACAGTAAGATTAGTGAGAAATTTGTAAAATTTCTAAAAGTTTATTTTTATCTTTTAGTACTGAGGATCAAAAAAATTATTCATAGTGTAGATTTAGAAAGAAAATAACACTGTTGAAGTGTGTCATTAAAGATATACTGTGTAGTAGCAGCATTAAAGCTTTTTTTTTTTATTACTGTTGTGTCATTGAGGTACAGCTACTGTGTGTCTGGTCACTCTTCAAGGTAATCAATTATGTATTGTGAAACCTTGGCATGTACACTTAATTACTGTTTAGGTAGAGGGTGTGCTGTCTGTATTTGCTTCTTGGGTTCCCTATATTTACATCTACACCTATTCACTGTAATTTTTATATTCTGCAGTTCTTTTGTCTGGTTAAGTACATAGAATTTACAATCAACTTCCTGTCTTGAAAAATAATTTCTGTTTGTTCTTATGCTTATTTTTTGTATACAACACAACTTTTTAGCACTTTAGTGCATTAGTAGTGATGTCA